GGGGGGGGGGGGGGGGGGGGGGGGGGGGGGGGGGGGGGGGGGGGGGGTGACACGGTGCTGGCTGTGCCCAGCACAGCTTGTCTGCAGTGTCCCCTTGGCCACAGATTAACTGCATTTTAATTACTGCACCCAGGGATTGGGGCAAAAAACAAGTTAGTGTTTCCGGGGGTGCTGCTGGGGAGCAGGTTCCATGGGGAGTGGAAGAGCCGGGGTGGGGGGCACACACGCGATACCCAGGCGAGGGCTGAGGGTGTGGGTGCCTGTGGTGGGCCGGGTGTTGGGGACTAGTGGGGTGCAAGGGCAGCAGTACTTTCCACGCCAGGAGGCCTTCGCCCGTGGCCATTTGCTGCCCTGCAAAGCCCCGTGCGCCCCAGCAGCTCCCTGCCGTTTGTGACGGCTCCTGTAGCACCAGGTCAGCGCAGGAGCCGCTTCTGCAGCACCAACAAACCAACCCCCTGTGTGGGACCCACGGGGCAGCCAAGGGGGCCTCCCCGTTCAGCTCATGCCCCACCACTGACCCCCATCACCATTAATTAATTCAGCTACAACCTCTTTCTGACAGCACTGAAACCGGTGCTAACACTGGTTTATGTTCTGAGCCACAGGATGAAGCAACAGAGCTATTAGCCATGCTCGCCCTCCCCGGGGGGGGTGTGGTGGGTGACTGGGGGGGGACGGGCACAGCCATGGGCACAGCTGGGGGGAGCACGAGGCCAAGCTCAAAGCCGTGACAATGGCTGCCACCATGGCCAGGGCTGGCTCTGGCACACCCTGCCAGAAACACTTAATGACAATTTTTGTCCTATAAAATACTATTCACAATCCGTACGAGGCAGCCCGGCTCCCTGGGCAGAGCCACTGGTGGCCCAAGGTGGCTCCAGTGGGCCAGGCCACAGCTGGCCAGAGCAATGTCCCCTAGCCCATCCCAGCCCCCTGTGGAGCCTCTTGGGCTGTCCTCAGAGCCAGGAGGAAGAGGAGCATAGGGAGGAAGAGGAGCTGGGGTGCGAGAGGGGTTGAGGGCTGCCAGGACGTGGCAACCAGACCCGTGGTCCCCCAGGGGCCAGGCTGCCACCCCCAAACATGGCTCCCACGAGTGCTGCTAGGAGTGCCCTGCTCCCCCCAGGCAGCACGGGGACTCTCTGGGTTGGGGGGAATAAATAAATTAACATGGAAAGAGCAGAAGGGTAAAAGACTGCCAGGGACAATGGGGGGGCAGCCCCCGCCAGACCGCAGGAGGGGAGAGGGGCAGGGGGTGACAAACGCGGGGGAAGGCGCCAGCTGTGCAGAGGGCTCTGCATCCTTCTGCATGCCGACAGCGTCCTGGAAGCGGCTGCCCAGGGTCAGTTGCTGTTCATGATCCACCAGGAAGCTGGGGAGGAGAGGGGAACGGCTCAGGGATGTGCAGTCAGCGATAAACGGGGCGGGGGGATTGGGGGGGCAGAGACCTGAGCACCAGGAACACAGTCGGTGGGAGCAGCAGATCAGGAGGAACACTGCCAGCGTGGGGTTTGATTCAAATTAACCTGTGTTTCATGTTATTTTTACACAAGACCCAAAAGTGACAGCAAACGGGGGCTTAATTTGGTCTTATCTATGACCGGTCTCTCCCAGTTCCTCACGCCTCAGCCACGTTTCTATTGGTACCATGGGGAACATGTGTTTTCCCTGAGCTGGTCTCTCCCCAGCCTCAGCACCGCTGAGCTGTAAACCTGGACGCAGCCCCTGGGACTGACCCAGCAGGGCCAGGGCTTTGCAGAGCAGGTTCAGGGCTCAGACAGGGCTGAGCTGCTACCTGGGAAGTGTCTGTCCCCAGCTCTTCGGCTCTCCTGGTGGAAGAGCAGCCCCCAGGCAGGGCAGAGGCCCCACAGCACTGCCAGCACACCCCCCAAACCTGCCCAGGGAAACAGGTCTCACTTGGGCTTGAAAAACACAATTTAGGTCACCCTCGAGCCAATCTTCTGCTCTGGAGGGATGAAGGTGCCTGTTCTGGTGCTGCTCCTGCCCTCTGCACAACACCCAGAGCAGGAGCACTGAGCCGCTGGGGTTCCACAGCCCCCCAGGGCCCCCCTCACCTGGGAAGAGCATGGTGGTCAGCAGCTCCGGGGACTCCAGCAAGCTGATGATGGACCGCTGGAAAGTCTTGCTGCAGCTGGACTGCAAGTGGCTGTAAAACAGCGTGTGGGGTGGGGAGGGCGCAGGGCCTGTGCGCGCCAGGTGGTGCAGGACTGTGCTTGTGCGCCAGGATCCTGGCCCATGCATGGGGATGCTTCTGCAACCACCCAGTGCAGGACACCCCCTCCCCAAACCCTTGCTCAGGGCGTTCACCCCCTCCTGCTGCAAAGGGCCGTGGGGACACGCTGGGCTGAGCGGTCAGCAGCAGGACAGGCCATGCAAGGAGAGGGAGCAGTGGGGCACTGGGGGAGCCCCGAGAGGAAACACCATTCAGCACCCCCCCCGCAGAGCATCCGGACCCAGCCCCACACAAAAAAAGCCTCCAACCTTCTCCACGAAGTCACGTCCTGCCAGAACTCGTACAGGATGAAGCAGGCCTCGTCCGTCAGCTTGCAGGCAGACACGCTGCGGGGACAGGAGCCACCCTCAGATGGGGCCTGGCGAGCTGACATGGTGCAGCCACGTCGGTCCCGGGAGCGAGGGGCACACTCTGCACATGAGCCTCACCACGGGGCTTTCAGAGAGCCGTTTGGAGGCAGCCACCTGCCCCACGGCTCCAGGAGATCCTGAACACAAATCCTTTGTGCTTCGCAGTTCCTGCAGGCAGGCAGCAGAGGAGCTGCACAGCTATTAAACTGTCCTTGCTGCTGCTGCCCACAAACCAGCGTGTTAAGTGTTTTATTAAGCATTTCTTAGCGCGTCCCTAGCACTGCAGCACACAGCCCGACAGAGGAGCTCATCCTTCCAGCCCTTCAGTAGGTGTGCATCACCCTCCACCCTTCACACAGAGAAACTGAGGCAGGAGCGCAAGAAGCCAAGATCCCAGCACAAACCCACAGCTGGCTGCTCCCCGAAGGGACAGTCTCGCCAGGCGACACTTCCCACGCTCCCTCCTGCCTCAGGAACAGGCCGGGGCTTTCTCCAGTCCACGGAAAGATGGAGGGGGAAGCAGCAGGGAGGCGAGAGAGCAAGGCTCAGCGTGTGGGGCCTGGGGAACCATCTGCACTCTGACTAAGGGTGAACGTTTCCACCAGCTGCTGCAAAGGGCTGCAGGAAAGGACCAAGCTCTGGGAGGGGAGAGCAAAGCAAGTCACCTGGCAGCTCAGAGGCTGCATCCTCCTGTGTGCTGCAATTCCCTGGTGTGAACCAGGACAGCAGAGTCTCCCCGGACTTCACTGCAGCTCTCCACTCACATGGAGTGCCTGCCCGTGCAATGCTACCCAGTTGTCTGGACCAATAGTTCTGATGACAGAAAAGCCCATCAATCCTGAAGAAAAAAATTACCATTCTCTCTGCCACACATGTCAAAATAAGTGTCTTCTTTTTGTTTGGACTGAAAACGCAATTTTGTGCTGGTGGAACTGAAGAGCTGAAAAATGATACTTTAAATGGGAACAGCACGAACATTTCCCACTGAAAGCTGCCTGAAATCTCCCGTGGGAGAAGGAAAGTGCCTCTCAAAGAGCAGCTGTGCAATCTCCAGGGACTTGCTGGCAGTGGCACATCCCTGGAGGCAGACCTGGGCTCCATCCTCTGCCCTGCTCAGAGCTCCGGAGCGGTGCTGGGGGGCAGAGCCTTGCTCTCACGCCAGGGTTGGCTTCAGGTGTTCACACCTGCTTCCCTCCAGCACTACACACACTTTACACAAAGCAGTGCTCTGACGTGCACTCTCCCACTGGCTCTTCCCCATTATTTTTTTTTTTATTACCCTGCCCTTGTGAGACCCCACCTGGAATACTGTGTCCAGCTTTGGAGCCCCCAACACAAGAAGGATATAGAACTGTTAGAACAAGTCCAGAGGAGGGCTACCAATATGATCAGAGGGCTGGAACACCTCTCCTATGAGGACAGGCTGAGAGAGTTGGGCTTGTTCAGCCTGGAGAAGAGAAGGCTCCAGGGAGACCTTATAGTGGCTTTCCAGTACCTGAAGGGCACCTACAAGAAGGCTGGGGGGGGACTTTTTACAAGGGACTGTAAATGATAGAACAAGGGGTGATGGGTAGAAGCTGAGGGAGGGGAGGTTTAGAGTAAATATAAGGAAGAAGTTTTTCACTGTGAGGGTGGTGAGGCACTGGACCAGGTTGCCCAAGGAGTTTGTGGATGCTCCATCCCTGGAAGTGTTCAGAGCCAGGTCGGACAGGGCTTTGGGAAACCTGGGCTAGTGGAAGGTGTCCCTGCCCATGGCAGGGGGTTGGAACCAGACAATCTTTGAGGTCCCTTCCAACCCAAACCATTTTGTGATTCTATCATTTTTGAGTCCTTCAGCGTCAGAGGAACACATGCATTCACACATGCCAAAGCCATTCCTGCTGGCATAAAATCCATCCCCTCCTTGCCAGAGGCTGACAAGCGGCTCTCACTGAGAGTACCTGCAGCAGGAGATGGGACAGCACTGCAGGCAGACACCGCTGCAGCTGTGACACTGTCCTGTCCTCTCTGCAACATCAAACCACTGCGCACCAAGTCCACCCTTGCACTGACCAGCACACAAAAAATTCCACAAAAAACCCTTTTATCCCCCACGCGTGCCATGTTAAAAGCCCCTATTTCTGGGCGAGCCACTCCACAAACAGACCCTGTGCCTGCCACACTTACTGCAGGCAGCTGCTCTGCCCAGCGGTGATCTCCGTGTAGGACCTGAACGCCTGGCGGAACTCCTCAATGCTGCTTGTTGCCACCGAGATCTGCCTCTTGGCCACCAGGATGTGCTGCAAAGTGACAGCGGAGCAGCGGCATCAGGGACTGATCTGTCCCCTCCTGCCCTCCCTGCTCCCACCCTTCTGCAGGACAAGGCAGTGCCCAGCAGCACCACAGGGGAAGCCGCAAGAAGGGGCTGGCACCACAGTGCTGGGGACAACACCAACATTCAGCAGCTTCTTCCTACCTGGGCAGGTTGCCATTACAAGGAGGACAGCACCAACAGGAGATGCTCCATCCCCTGGTGGTTGGGTTCTGCTCTGGGGCTGCTGCATTTCCCTGTGTCCTTCCCCCCACAGAAAGGGGCCTCAGGACCCCTCCAAGGGGCTCCACATGGTCTGCAGGTGCTCGGAGCAAACCTGGAGGATCTGGGTGCTCACAAGCGGAGCGTTGCTGCCTTCCTCTGGGCTGGCTGTGGGTGCTGCCTGGGACTTTCAGGGACACAATGGAGCTGCATTTGTCCTGTGGATGGTCCCACGCTCACAGCTCTGACTCCCACCCTGCTACGTCGCTGGGCACAGACCCCTCCACCAGACCAAAGGCAGCAGCTCACCCAGGTGACTCCAGTCTCGGGGCATAGGGGCTGTGTGAGCACACATGCGTGTGTGCGAGAGGGGATCGGTGCACGCTACAGGGTTACCTGCAAACTACAAGCAGAAGGACAGGGACTTACTGCATCTCTTCCTTCACACATTGCTTCCTCCTTTAGTGGCTCCAGGCGTGGGCTCTGCATTTAACACCATAGCAAAAATCACTGTTACTGAGAGAACTTTGCAACAAGGTAGAAGGTGGCAGTAACCCACAGTGCAGCCCAGCTGAGCGGGACAGACGGATCCCACTCTGGAGACACTCCTTAGGGAACCTGGGGAGAATAGGATGTGAACTGCACATCTGTAGGGCTCAGGGAGTCCACACTGACTTGTCAGGTCAGCAAGGACCATGGAGAAGCCAGGCGAGGGCCAGCAGAGCTGAGGGGAGAGGGGGGCTTTGGAGACAGCAGCTTTGCAAGTCAGGGTGTGGTGAATGGGTGCCAGCACTGCCCTGGCTGGCGCTGAGGTGCGGGGCAGCCCCCAGCCCACCTCCCCTCTGCACGCACCTTGCACTCTAGTTTCTCGATGAGCTGCTGCAGTCTGTTAATCTGCGCCATCCACTGGCTGTTGTCTTCGACACAAACACCTATACAGGGAAGGGCAGAGAGGTGTCACCGAAAAAGCTTGCTTTTGTTATTGCAAAAGCTTGCTCAAGACCCAGAAAACCACAAAAGCTTCTAAACTGATTTAAACCAAAATACTGGTTGTTTTTTCTCAAAAAACTTCTCCCACTGCTCAAGAGATACAACATCCCACAGCAGCTCCAGCTGGCACCTGGGTGCGACGGTCCAGGCCCTATCCTGGACAAGCCCCCGCTGCCCTGTGCTGCTGCTTCCACACCCACTCCAGGCTCCAGTGGGGCAGAGACACCAACCCAAGGGATGGCCAGGCTGCAGATACCTGTCGTTAGCATCCCGGAGTAGGGGTCTGTCGGAGACAGACATACATTCTTCTGTCCTCTGCGCCCACATCGTCTCCCTGACCGCAGGCCAACCGAGGTCTCCGATTTCTTTATGTCCTTTCTGAAAGAATACAAAAGGCAGGGTTGAAGACACCGACTATATGGGTCAGCTTCACAGTGGGCTTCGAAAGGGTAGATCCTTCTCCCAGGTGTCCCTCCCAGGGAGATCCACCAGTCCTGCCCCATGCTGCAACCTCCACAGGTGGTGAGGAGAGGGGGAGGACCAGCATGTCCCACCCCCTTACCTCTCCCGTCCTGCCTGCTCCTCCACGGTGTCCACAGCACACTCGAGCGAGGCCTGCAGGGACTGCAGCTGGTGCATGGTTTCCCGCAGCAGGAAACGGGTCAAGAACTGCTCCATCTTTGAGGAGGTCTCATACCTCTGCAGGAAAGGGAAAAGGATGTCAGATGCTTCCGGCTCTGTGCAGGGGGAGCAGAGCCGCATCTGGAAGGGGTTGGCCCTTAAATAAACCCAACATGGGGGATTCTGATCAAATTTATTGTAAGAAGTAACAACACTGTAGGACAAAAGCATCCTCTGGGTGCATGCCTGCAAGGTCACAACTCAGAACACACAGGGTGAGGCCTCCCCATCCTGACTGCAGCACCCACAGCCCCTGGGAGCTGTGGAGGACTGCAGGCAGACACTTCCAAGCTGCAAATTAAAGGCCACTTGCAGAAACAGCCCCCAGCTCTGGGGCAGGCAGAGCATCCCTTGCTGCACCCAACAGCTCACATACAGCAGTGTGCTCTGCACTGGAGGTGACAACACGGGGTTGTGTGCCCTCTCCTCGCCACCCTCCTGCCCAGTCTGACATGCAAAGTGTGCACCACAGGCACACTTTTTTTTAGGTGCTGGGGGCATGTAAAGGCAGGTCCAGGGGGGCACACAAGAAGCACTGGGGAGAATGGAGGAGTCACTGTGCATCCTGGCAAGAAGGCAAGATGGCCCGGAGGGCACCCAAGCAGCAGGTCAGGATGCATGCCATGCCCCAGGACATGTCTGAGTAGCACAGGGAGCCAGGGAAGTGCCTGGACACAGAGACAGGCACCCCAAACTCCTTCCTTCCTTTGCCAGCTGCAACCACAAATCCTCTTGGGCAAAAATCTGAGTGCAATAAATGGCTGCAGCCTGAAGCATGGCTTCTTTCCACATGCTATGGGCTCTGCTGGCAGCACCATTCCCTGCAGCCTGGTCCAATCCCTTTACTTTCTTGTCCAGTCTTCACTTGCTTCCTTAAAACCACCTGGAGTTTTACCCTTGCACTGTTAAGACATCCTGGGGATGAAGACAAGGTACCCAAGGAGGGACACTCGGGAGGCAGGGAGCAAGGGGACAGGAGGAAAGGCTGAGGCACATACCCAGACAGACACTTCAAGAGCAGGCAGAGTTCTCCTCCACTGGGGCTGAGCCAGTCTCCCTTGCAGAGCAGGTACCTGTGGTTGGTCTTCCCCCACAAGACTGCTCTTGTTTCACTACAGGGTGACGCTCTTCCCTCCTCCCCAGCGTCCCTCACAAGTGCCAGTCATGCCAGAGCCTGCACTCATTATGGACAACAGCAGAGCTTGACCCAGGCAGGCTTTGCAGGCCAGAAGCTGCATAAGTTTGTGCTGAGAACTATGTTGCTGTACCCCTTCAGTGCATCCACAACGTGGGAGAGCCAGAAGCATTTCACCACTGCTGAAAGCACAGCAGGCTTTGCCATAGCACCCCACATCTACCCACTCAAACACAGCATCATCAAGGACTGGGGTGGCATGGAAAACCTACGAAGCCACCTCTTCTGTGCCCTGAAAGCTCTCTCAGAGGAACAGCCAGTGCTCATGGCCAACTCCCCATCCTGCCCTTCCACCAGCAGGGAAAAGGTGGTGGAAATGCTTTTCGAGAGCTTTGGGCCCTGCACATGGCTAACACCAGGCTCCTCTCCCTCTGTGCTTACAGCAGAGTCACTGGTCTGGCTGTGGAAGCCAGGGCAGGAGTGTCCCATGTCACCTCCTCCTGCCTGGGACAGACCCTGGGGTGGCAGGTGGCTCCCTCCCAGCTGCCTGCACAGCCTGCTGACCCAGAGCCCAGCCACCCCGCAGGGCTGAAGGCCTTGAGGAAGACCACAGTGACCCAGCTGAAGAAGCAGTGCTGCTGCGTCTCCATCAACTACGAAGGAGACTTTCACAACCAAGGTTACCATCATCCAGCCAGATTTCAGGCCCCTGATGGGCAATGGATAACCCTGGACAAGGGATGGTTCTACCCAAAGCTGCTCTTCCAGCCAAAGCTACTCCATCAAAGGTCCCCAGGGCTCCACCACGTGGCCCTGCAGAGCTTCCAGAAGTTACCTGACCACACCAGGAGGGGTACTGTGTGTAACACTACGCTGTCAGGGAGCTCCTCAGCGTTTCCTGGCTTTTCCAAGAGGATGTGCTTAGAGTTGAACATGGCACGGCCTGCCACATCCACGCCCTGGCGAGCCCGGAGAGTAGCACAGCAGCCTGGGCCGTGGTCTCGATGGCAGTGTCACTCACGTCCTTCCAGTACACATGGATGGCAAAAGGTGAGTACCAGGAGCACGGTGCCATGTACACGCACAATATATGGCAGTAGGCAGACAACAACCACGTGTTCAAAGCATCCCACCAGCGGGGCACAGCTCCTGCTGCAGGAGGGGGGTCTCCCTTACTGGGGCCAGCTCCTGCACTGCTGCAGGAATGCAAAGTCAATTCAAACGCTCCAAAAGAAGTAAATGGCTTTTCATTTACACTCCACGTTATTTCTATGCCTATGCACCATCACTCTAATAAGTCTGTGTCTGATCAGGCTGGCAACACAACCACAGGTTGTGCTGTGAACTCAGGCCACGCCGACTGTCTGGGTACAGCCAGTCAACAGCCGAGCCCGGCACTCCGGGCTGGAGGCTGCGCATGTCCTGAGCACTGCAGCAAAGCTGTCCTGAAGGCACTGCCTGCGGCTGCCGGAGCAGGGGAGGGCTCCACTCCAGCAGGCAGGAAAGCTCCTTCCGCAGGAGCCCTGAACTCCGTGGGGAGCCCCAGGTGTGGGAGGAACGAGCTGAGGAGGAGAAGGTCCAGGGGTGCCTGCACTGCAGCGGTTTTACTATGGGAGGTGATTTCTGATCTTGGCACTGAAGCAGCTCAGCACTGGGTATGGAGGATGAGCTGGTGGAAACCAGGGAACTGAATTCGCTCTTTGTAATTTTGGTATAAAGGTCATTTGGTGCTTCAGGGAGCTGATTCAGTTCACTGAACAGGCAGAAAAGCACTCACCTGGCTTTGCTGCTGCTTTAGTGAACTGAGTCAGCTTAGACGATTACAAAAGGATCAGAGGTTGCATGGGGGGAAGCAGCTGGGAAGCACTGCCCAGCTGTCACAGCAGACTCCTCTCCCCATGGCCAGGCTGTCAAGGGACACAGAAACCACAGGACATCACTGTGAGCACTACGAGAGACAGGACTGGAAATGGAAGGTCAAGGAGGACTGGTTGCTCCCCAGGAGAGGTCAACCCCTTCCCTTGACAGACAAGGAGACAGACTGGACCAGAGTCACCTCTGCCTTCCCCATGGTGTCCTCATACACCCCCAAGGCTGCGGCACAGACCAGCAGCCAGGCTGCCTTCACATGTCTGAGCACCATGAACTCCCCCTTTCATGTCCAAAATAGAGTCCAGCAACACTACCACATTATTCAGGTCAAGTATTTCCAATTCCTACTGTGTTTCTCTCTAACACAAGAGAACTGAGGATCTTGAACTCCAGAAGCTCTGCACAAAAGCACATGGAGGTAACCCTTCCAATGCTGGTGTCAGAAATCTGTTGAGGAGCGGGGAGGGCCTTGAGCCCCCCGTGGTTTTCTGGTTCCTCTGCACCACAGCCGAGCCACCAGCCCAGTCCCAGACCACGTCTGCCTGGGGCTGCTGGCACAGCTGCAGCTGGCCGGGAAGGTAAGCGGAGGGGATTCTCATCTACTGAGCACTGCCCTGGGCTCATGCCGGAGTGGCCACAGCCTCTCCCTGCACCCCTCAGCACATGGTGAGCAGAGCCCTCTCCCCAGCAATCATGCTGCCTGCGGGTTCTCATCTGTGCTTGAAAATGAATCTCATTTTTGTGCCAGAGGAATAAGATGGCAGCAAAGCTGATTCGATGTGGCTGTGGGAAGCTGAGGTCCAGCTCTGCATCTCTGGGCTTTCCGCAGCCAAGCATCCCATCAGCTCCCACAAGCCTCCTTCCCTATGGCCCCAGAAGATGGAGAGCACAAGGCTGGGGACCCCAGGCAGGGCCCCTGCCCCTCCTTCACCTCCCCACTCACAAGGGGTGCAGGCACCAAAATCTCCACCAGCACTGCTCCTCTGTGCTTGCTCAGCTCCTGCCAGCCCAGACACACAACCCCTCCTTACAGGGGAACAACCAACACTCAAACCTCCCCAGGACAAGCCTGAGAAAGAAAAGTGAAGAATAATTGACAGGGTCCCCCCCACTGGGGCACAGCAGAAAGAATACATTATTCATCCACCACATGGCCAGGCACAGGCTGTTTCATTTCAGGAGCTGGTCCAACTCCAAACGCTGTCACCCTTCTTTCTCCACAGAGGCACTTCCCACAGCAAGCAGCCTCTGCAGCCACGTGGGACCCACTTAATGAGGTGTGATCCCCTACCCAACCCATCCTCCCCAGACCCCTGCCGGGGCTGGCTGTGGCCCCCACAGCCTTGGCATATGGACACTTCCCCTCGCATAGGGGCTGGATGCTTCTCCCCAGGCGCATCACTCCCCTTCAAAGGGCCAGGTGCTGGAGAAGCCCCAGTGCCAAGCCAGCCTCCCTGCACTCCCCATTCTCTCAACTTCCATCCTGAGGATGGCCTAATCCTGATGTCCTCTGTGGATGGTGTTGGTGGATGGAGCTTTATCACAGAAGCGGTCAGCTGCTCTCACTGACATCGCGTCACAGCTGTGGAGGGCATTTTCAGCCTGCCCCGAGCCCCACGGCTTGCTCCAGCAAAGTCCTTACACCTCAAACACACAGGCACAGGCACCAGCCTGGGGTGTCACTCCCCAAAACCCAACTACCAGCCCCAGGGCAGGCCATGCGTGGGGGGGACTTGGCTCTGAAGCTCACTGTGCAGAGGGCTCCCCATCCTCCTGGGCCCAGCATGCCCCAGCCCACATTGCAAGGGCAAAGCAGGATCCCACACAGACATGTCAGTATTTCGGGCGAGCATTGCACACGACGAGCCAGCTGCCTCCTGTCTCTCACCTCATCAAACACAGCATGCCCAGGGGAATGCACCAGAGACAAGGATGGAAATTACCATCTCTCAAGAGAGCCCCAAATGCTGTTTCACCCTTCTGCATCGACTTGGAAAACTTCATGCCAGGGGAAGAGAATCACTTGAATAATGCACCTCCGCTTCAGTTCAGCCGCCTGGCCCCCTTTGTACTCCTCACTTTAGGGCAAAAAAGCAAAACCCTCTTGGCAGGTGTTGCCGCACACAGTTCAAACCCCTCTGTTAGAGGCTCTATAAAAACATGTTCTGTCTCACTGAGCACAGCATTTTCTGCTCACAGCAAAGACTCATGGAAAGGAGTCACAAAGAAAATAACTCAGCAAGCACAAGACAAGGTTTTCTGGTTGTGGACTGGTATTTCAGCTCCATTGACCCAGATGAAAATCCCAAAGTTGCCAAGAGCTGCTATAATTCTGCTTTTGAGAGGTTTTATTAGTTTCTTATGATGATAGTTAAGCTCAGGACAGAGTGGAATAGGTGATCTCATAATTCCTGCCAAAGGAGAAATAAGAGTGCCTGACTTGGAGAGATATTTATGGGCTAGTTTGCAGCGCCTGCAAACTGGAGAATGAAAAGATTTTAGCATAAAGGTCCCTTGTGAGAAATATCAGACTGTTTCCCAAGGTATTTCCATAGTTCACTTCTTACTCTGACACTATTATATTACAAATGCAAAGTTTAGCCACAAGATAAGCTGTAATTACTATACTGAAGCATAGCTATCAAGTTATACTTTAAAAATCTAAGTGGCAATGACAAAATTTGGAGAAAAACCCTCTTTTCTTCAAAAGGTATCTTTTCTTTACCATGTTTCTAGCAACCCAGTGAGGAACCTCTAATGATTTGGTTTCCTCCTGCCAACCTGTGGATCCATAAAGACCATGAGCAGGTTTACTGCCCACACATACACTATTTCCTACAGTAACTGCAGTCACTTACACAGTGAAAAGGACGAACCTGCCTTGCATTTCCCATGCTTTATCGCAGTGCTTATCCTGCAGCTGGCAATGTGCACGGCAGGCAGCAGGCCGAGGATCTGGCCCGCAGGGAGACAGCCGCTGAGACAGGCCATTGATCCACGCCAGGGACCCTGGCCCACAGTGACCACGACAGCTCATGTGGAGGTGGGAATCCTTGGGACTAAAAAGGCTTTTGGCAGCACTGCTTCAAACCACAACTCCCAAACAGAGCCACAGCATATCTTCTCCGAGCTTTAGCTTCCTTATCCCTCTCTCTCCTCCCTGTGGTTCATCGCCCTGGCACGGTTTGAGCAAGCCCAGTGCACCTCTCAGGCCCTGCTTTCATTGTATGAACAAAGCTGCCCTGTCTTTGCTTGTAAAGTGGGCTCATATTTCACATGAGCCTATTCACAGCGGTGGGTAAGTACCTGGAGGATGCAGGGGTGAGCAATCCTGTAGCAGCAGAAGTAAGGAACTACCAGAGATGGACCATGCCCTAACCAAGAGATGCTGTGGTTCAACTGGTCAGAGATCCCCTTCTTCTTCCAGCTAGTCTGGGTACCACTGCCTCCTTGGGAGTGACATGGAGCTCTCTTAAATACAGTGGGGGAAAACAGGCAGGGATTGCAGATCTTTCAGCATCTGTTGACACCACAGCCCTGCTCGGGAAGCAGAGCTTTATGGTGAGGGCCACTGGAGCAGACAAATCTCTTCCAGTTTGCTCAGTGCACTGCATGGCTGCATCTCCAACAAAAGCAGCTCCCCAGGATGAAGTTTAATTCAGCTCTTCCAGGAGGGTGGTCTCTGCCAAGCTGGGGCTCTCAGTCCTCAGTCATGGTAGCATTAGAGGTGTTTGAATCAAATGAAATGAGGGACAGATGTGTCATATAGGAAATCTCTGCCCCCTCCCCTGGCTCAGAGAGGTGTGAGCTTTGGCTAAAACCCAACCTAATAAACCCACTAATCCCATAATAACCCAAGATTGAGCCCCATTCTGGAAACACAAACGTGGGAATGTATTCAGGTCACAGTAGGTAAGAAGGCCAGCCTCTAGCAGAGGCGATTTCCCACAGCTCCTCAAGAGCCCTGACCACAGGGTTGAAACCCTGCCCTCTCCTGCTTCTCCCCAGCTCAGAGCCCCATAGAGCAGGGAAGCACAGGGAGATGCTTCCCAGGAGGGTCAGTATCAGGGCACCCAGTAGCTCAGGGCTAGGATCAGAGCACCCCATCTGCACAGACTTCGCTGCTGAGAGCAGCACTGTCAACATCAGACTGCCCTGACCCCCTGGATCCATGTGGATCGAAACAGGGGTGGAAAAGTGAGTTCACAAAAATCTGTTTCAACAAGGAAAATCAGCTTCTCTTTTCCAGGGAACACCTATGGCACCAGAAACTATTAAGTGAAGGAATGCATCATGCCAGTACTGTGAGGCAGACAGTAACTGTGCTGTCCTTTGGAGAAACACGTGAATATATAAATTCATTACCAAAAAAAAAGCAAAACAGGAAAGAACTGAAATAATGCATAGCTCTCTAAAGAGCATTCATTCTCTCCCTCTGGACTTGCATTTAATAACTGTGAAGGGGGCCAGGCAGCTGAACCAAAGAGAAAATGTGTTTTCAAGTGATTCCCTCTCCTGGCATGAATTTCGCAATGTACAGGGAGATGCTGTTGAGGCTGGATCTGGCCAGAGGAAACTCAAAGAGAAGGCAAGATCATGACTGACACTACAGAGGCACAAACACTTCAATGACTCCGCAGAGCTGAGAGCAGGACTGGTCCCACCTCACCTCTCTGTCTGATCAATAGGTGCATGGATAGTGTGCACAGGATGATGCTCTTCATCCATTTCCTGCCAAGCATCAAACCACCACATCGAAGGGAAAGAAAGAGCAGGCCCTTCCCACAGCTGTGAAACAGCATCAGCCCCAACCCCACAGCTAAACCATTTAATACATTTCAGGTGCAAAGGGGGCTGCTGGTCCCTGAGGAGGGTCCCTTCCTGTATTGGCCACTGCTTTTCTGCAGCTTTATTTAGCCTGTGAGGCTGTGCACTGCAGACTTCTGCTCTCCGACACAAAGGCAGGGGGGCTCGCAAAGCAGGAGGCTGCTTGCCCTAATTAGCAGCCTTCAATCTGCCTCCCATCAGCACAAGCTGCAGGGAGAACATTCACTGCAGGGATGAACTCGGCACAAGGCTGGGAGTCAATGAAATTTCACCATCTCCTACCTTCTCCCAAGCGCCTCGCTGCTTCCCAGAGCAGCTCTCCTGCCCCAGTGGGTCTGACCCCTCTCCCACAGCCAATTTTGTTGCTGTGAGCACAGACTGTGCTGAGCACAAGCTGCTGAGGTCAGTCCAGAGCAGGCTCCACCCTGGAGTCCCTCATTTCAGGTCACACTCTTTGTGGAAAAGACCTTGCTTTGGCTCAGGGATGCAGCACAAAGACTATCAGTGATGCTCCCAGAAACAGTGGCCCCAGGTAGGACCCTGCAAGCAGTCTGCAAGGAGCTGTTGAAACAACTGTAGCCAGAGCCCCATGAGGAAGAAGACATCTCCAGAGCACAAAAGCTGTCACTGCACACGGAGACAACTGAAGCACACACAGGCAACCCCGTGGATATGGGAGGAATCATATTTTCTGCCTCTGACACCCCAGTTTAACGCTAAGCAAGCAGCTAAAATCACCACAGCTTTCTCTTACACACCCACCTGTCCCACCACCCTCCCATGGCCCCATCCTTACCAGCTTGGTTTTGTCCATGGCTGCCAGAACCGCAGAGTTGAGGGCTTCCAGGGCAGAAAGCACATTCTTGTATTCCCCGAGATATGCTGAGAAATAATCTGAAGCAGGACAGAAGATCGTGGTGAGCTTCCTGAGTGCCTCCACCTCTGCCTGACCTGCACCTGGTGCTTCCCATACACAGCCCAGTGCTGCAAGGCTATCCAGAGCCATGATCCCTCCCAGACTGAAGAGTCCTCTGCTATCCCCAGGGACAGAATGTCCCATCCTCTTGGGAAAAGCACGGATGCCCTCTGTGCTGGGATTCAGGCACGGGAACTGTCAATGGCACTTGACTGCCCAGTCCTGCCCAGGTTAGACATGCACAAAGCCCCACCACAGACCCTCAAGAGAAGAAGCCCTCCAAGGCAGGGATATCACCCTACTTACCGCACAATTTCTCTGTGTCCACATTACTGCAAGAAACAGAAAAACAAATTCTTGTTAGATGGTAGGGCTGGTTGTGAAGAAAACAGTTGTGGTGAGAAGGGTCTTGAGGGCTTGTTTTGAGCCCCCAGTGGATTTACTGATCCTCCCACGTACTCCCAAAAGCTGGATTAGAAGAACAAAAAGCTGCTCAAGTTTAGAGCCAGCTGCTCAGGAGCTATGCCCAGCACCTGCAGCACCCAGGCAGGGCTGCAGAGCATCACCTCTGCTTCAGGGGCTGAAGGAGCAAGCAAAGCTGCTCCACCAACATCTATTGGAGCTGCAGTGTGCTGTGGAAGTGTCTGTGAGAGCATGATGGGGCCAGGAGAGAGGTCAAGGGGGGACAGACAGTGTTCCATGTCCCTGGACTGGCCAGCTGGGTTGGCAGCCCCATTTCTGTGCCCCGGAGCTGACGAGTCCCAGAAGCTGCTTCTTCAAGCCAACCTCTTCCCCCAAAGGTGTGAAGCGTTCAGCCAGTGCTCCCTCCTCATATTTCCTGACCTCAGCCCAGGTCCTTCCTCATGGCTGCCCCATGGCACCAGGCCCCCTTCTCTCCCATCTGTCCCACAGGAGACCCTGGCTGCTCCTCCTCCTCCTCCCCCAGGCCTTCAGAGCCTGGTGATGTGGGGCTGCCTTCAGGCTCCCAGGGCAGGGGGTTGTCTGGCTTCACAGCCCCTGAGAGGGGTTGTTCCTGCTGTGAAGGCCTTAACTCAGGGAGCTGCATCCAAAAATCTGGAGGCAGGGGCCAACCTCCCGCCCCTTTTCGGTAACAGAGAGCACAGCCCTGGATAATCAATGCTGGTGTCCCTGCAGGGCTTAGCCAGGTCCCTCCTGCTGCTAATAAAGGTGCTGCTGGGGTGGAGAGGGAGGAGGAAACATCCAGAAACAGCCACATTTTTGGGAAGGGATGTCAAGCAGAACCATTCGTTCACATGAAGCTGTCAGACATGCTCAGGTGGCCAGAGCCAAAGAGGCAGAGCTGCTTGCAATGCCTGGCACCACCTGCAGAGCCTGCAGGGAAAAGCCCCAGGATATTGTGTATTCAAATCAGCCTCTGCTCAAGAAATTCTGCTGTTTCAAAATCCCTTAAATGATTACAACCATTTTTAATCCTGATTGTGAAGGTGGAAGAGAGCACAGAAGAGTTTGTGTTTAAGTGCTGTCACACATGGAGGAACCAGTGATACCTGGAGTTTACTGGGCTCCAAGCACAAGGACTGCTGGAGTGCCACTGCCCAGGGGAAGTCAAACCACAGCTGCATCACCCTGTCCCCCCTCTGACACTGCTCACGGGGCAAAGAGACAAAAACACCTGAGGTAAAATTAGAGGAAAGTGTGTAAAGTATCCAAAATGCCATGCCAGGAACAGGTGTAATAATTCAAGCAAAATCTTTCTACAGCTTTTCCCCCAGATGACAAAGGCTGGTTTCTGTGTCTCTCTTTCTGCTGGGCTTCCACTTTGTGTACTTTAGTAACAGGCAGTGCTTCAAATCATGAAAATATTTTGGTGCAAGACGTCATCACAGACCCGCAGCACTGGGACTGAAGACCCCTCTGTTTAGCTAATTACATCAGGCGCCGCCTTAGGCCACGGAGACAGGCAGTTTTAGGATGTGATTTGGCTCATCTATTTTAAACACCTACCGCAGGAGCTGATTAAGGCAGGGCTCTGGCGCACTGTCCTGGAACTGCAGATAGTTTTTAAAGTGGATTAAAAAAATAGTGTTTCCCTTGAGACGCAATACAGATAATCAGCAAAACCACAGCCCCTTCTTCTGCCAACTCCACTCCATCAAACTTTGCTGATCCCATCTCTGAGCAGCTCCATGAATCCAACCACAGCCCTGCTAGATAGAGTGACTGGGGTTTGAAGCATAAATTTGAATTGGAAAAATTTTTTGCTCTTCCTTAATTTTTCCACTTATTTCTGAAAGTTTCCTGGAGCCTGCAGAGCCACTGCTGCTGCACTGCCACAAGAGACTTGGCACTGCAGCATCCGCAGCACTGCCTGTTAGACCTGTGCCCCAGAGTCGTAACTGCAACCACTGGTTCCTAGCCAAGAGGTGGGTAAAAATCACAAAAGAAGGACAGAGACATGAGACAACAAAATACACAGTGAAACATCTAATGCACACGTTACCCAGGCATTTGCATCTGTCCCCAGCAAGAACCTGGGGCTGGGACTGGTTGCACCAGCAAGAAGGGGCCACCAGCTCAACCCACTGCCCAGTTCCCCACCTCAGCTCTAGCAAGCAGACGTCTGTGTGACAAGGAGCTATGACCAACACCAACCCTACAGCTTCTAAGGAGAGACCAGAGATTATTTCTATCTATATTGTCTGTTTTCTTCTTAAAAATAAATGATAACTAATCAATCACTGAACAGTTAAACACTGAACCAATTGCCAGGATCCTGTGGCAAACACCAGCCCGTGGAAGCTGTCCCATGGAAGATCTGCTCCCTTCCCAGCGCAGCCTGATCCGTCAGCAACCCTGCGCAGACACCTCTTCCCACCTCCTGCATCCTGTGGCAGCCCTCAGGCCACAGTTAGTGGCAGGGCAGAGCACAGCAAACAAATCACGAGGCCAGTGGCACCATTTTCATGCTACTAGAAGCTATTTCGCACCAGAAACCAGGAGGAGCTTACGTGAAGAACGTGCACGTCAAACCCCAATGCATTCTGCAGGGCTGCAAGGGGGCAGCAGGCTTTGCTCTGCTCCACTCTCTGCCATCCCTTCTCCCTCTCCAAGAGAAGAGCCAGTCTCTGTCTCCAAAGCACTCATCCTGAGACTCTCCACATTTCCACATAGCTGTATTTTGACTGTGCTCAAACCACTGATTAACTGTAATTAAGCTTGAACTGATGATGAAGGATCTTGTCATCATTATGCTGTCGGGATTTTGTGAGAGTGCGCCTGGAATTTATGCGAGAAAACAGCAATCAGCTTCAGCAAAGCAGATGGGATTTTTTTTATTTTTATCATGCTGGGAACCTTTGCTACTATCACAGGTCTGGTTTCCAAACCTTTCTGGTGTAACCCAGAGTGCTTCAGTCACTCTCCATTATTCAGAGACTGGTAGATGCTGTGGCTCCAAGTCTCTGACTAGAGAGGGAAGTTCACACAAGTCCCTTCTTCCACAGAACCAGTCTTGAAGTTATTTCCACTGAGAGTTTTTAAAAAACACCAAGTCAGCACTCCTACTTCTTTCACTTGTAACTCAAGGTCAGAGACACAGGCTTTGGGAAATCTGTACCCAATTCCTGCCACCACCATTTGACTGCTCTCATGCAAAGGAGGATTTTCTAGACCTTATTTTTCTAAATTTTCCCAACAGATGCAGGACAGAAAGACACACGAGGTCCATGCAATGCTTCCCTGGGCAGGTTTCACAGTCCCCTGCAAAGAGCAGTGGGCATGCGACCCATGCAACACTACAACATCCAGTCCAAAGCCCTTTGTAACCAACTCTCCATTAAGTTGTCCCTGTGAGACCCTGAGATCTGCTGCCACCCCACCTGGCTGAGCTGCAGATGGACACAGCTGCTCAGAGAGCAAACCACATTTCCCAAGATGCTTCTGCAGCAATGGAGATTTCCTTCCCTTCAAAAACACCTGTCTCTTCTCACCCCTGCATTTTCATCCAATGAAATGCCCTTTTCCAGGAAGGTGAATCTTTCTGTTCTGTGCCAGCGCCAGAGCTGGTGTGGAGCTTCTTGACAAGCTACACGAAATGGCAGACAGAGCTGTTGTACCAAATGGCAATAAAGAGTTGAATTTGGTTCCAATTGATTTTTTTTAATGTCAAAGAATTAGGGCAAGGAGATACTTTAAAGCCAAAATGGAACAATTTTCAGAAACTCAAAACAAAAAAAAGCCATGTGGGGAAGTATAAAATCTGAACAGAGGTGCCTGATGCACAGACCACAGCATCCCACCTGAGAGCCGGGTGGATGGGAGGTGGAGTGAAGATCAGAGAGGAAGGACAGGGAGAAAAGGAGAGTGTGGCACCATGGGCTCTCTGGAAGGAGAACAAGTAACATAGAAGACCTCTGAAATATTCATCTTCCCAGATGTCAGCTTTGGGAGTCAGGGGAGCAGCTGCAGGTTCGCAGTGATGGGTGAGGGTCAGGGTGTGTCTGCGCTCCGTTACCCAGACACAGAGTGCCTGGTATAAAGGTCTATGTTACTGCCTCTCCTTGGGTCAGGCTGGCACTGACAAAGAAACACACGTTTCAGCCCAGACCCGATGAACACAGCACCCTTGTGGCCAAATCCACCCACCAGATTAAGGGTGAAACTTTTCCATCACCAGAAAAGCTATGGGACATGAAAGAAGCATGGCAGATATGTTTGTAGACTTTGTAGATGCTTCACAGCTTTTTAATACTTCCATGTACTACCTCAGGTCATAACTCTTGAATCTGGCACAAAATTTCAGCCACCTCTCAAAAATATTAAGTTCCTGCAAGTGCAAGGCAAGCAGGCAGCCCAGAGGAGATGGGCTGTCCAGCCCTCCTGGCGAGGGGACAGCAGGGCACCAGCACAGCCCTTACAAGACACCAGATGTTGTACAAAGGATCAAGTCCCCCTGCAAACCTCAAAAACAAATGCCAGAAGGTCCAGCTCTACATGCAGAGCCACAGAGACCTCTACAAGGCCCAGTATGCTGAACACTCCTTGATCTCTGTCACCTGCTGCTGTGAAGTGGGCAAGCAGTCCCCAGGCAGCCCTGGCGGACAGTCGGGGTCCTGCCTCCCTGGGGACATGCCAGTCTCTCCAAGTCCCTTGTCCCAGCAGACACACAGCTCTGGGACAGGATCAGAGCGCTGGGGCAGACCAGCGCTGCCCCATGTTGTTTGCAGGGGGCAGGATGCTGCTCACCAGACAAGCTGAACGTGAGACTCCCTCTCTGGGAGACCCCACCTCCTCCTCCTCCTCCATGAGCTGGGGATGAAGCTGAAGAAATGTAAGAAATGTACAGTTCCCTGCTGCCCCCTCTCATGTCCTGTCCCACATGGACCATGACCCAGTCAGGGACAGAAACAAGAACTACACCTGGAATGGCCTCAGGGCTGGACTTACCCTTCTGCTCTTGCGGAAATGGGAGCTGCCTCGAAGGGCTGGAGCGATGGTGTCTCCTATACTTGCTTGAAGTCACTGAACACAGGAATATGGGAACCAGCTCTGTCCGCAGGGTCCCTTCTGCTCTTCATGTCAGAAAGAGATCAAAGACCTAACGGTCATGCCTGGCTAACAGATGTCACTAGCTTAATGCTGCAACTGCCACGTTGTCATAGCTACCGCACTGTCATTATGGGTAACGAGTTGGAGAGAGCACTGCTGCAGCCGTGCCCGGCTCTGACAGCCCACTCGCTTCGGTCAGTCCTGTTTGTCTGCTCTAGACAGATGGAAGAAGCCCGACCTAAAACCAGGAGATCTTCACTGTTCAGCCAAGGGCACAGTTGAAACTCTGCTTTGCTGCAACCCATGTTTTCCAGCGGCATTGTATGGGGGATGGCTCCAAGGCCACCCCAAAATGGAGTGAGAGGAAAGGAGCATTTGCAGATGAAAGCTCACTGCTAACTCCCTGGGATCACAGCCCAAAGAGACATCTCCTGCTGACTACATCCAATGAGCCCAGCTGGCAGGACAGGCAGCTACAGGCAGCCAGGCTTAAAAGCGGATGGCAACACACCAGCCCACTTCTCTGCCCCACCACCCACCACTGGCCGGAGTCAGTCACCATTTCCCCAGGACTGGGTGGATGATGGGGGGACTTGCAGCCAGGGACTGCTGGGGATCTGCTGTCAGGGGCTCGGTGGTGTTCAGGGGCTGTCTGCATCAGGGCAGGGCACAGGCCCTATGTGCTGCTGCTCTGGCTCCTGCAAAGCCCTGGGACCAGCGTAGGCAGCTAAGGGTGCTCTGAGTTACCTCTCCCCGGCGGGGACCTGCTCAGACACTGCCCTGGCCAAAGGCATCAGAGAGGCACGGGAGATGCTTCCTGAGGTGCTGGGGAAGTGGCACAAGCCAGAGATGAGCCTGCCGTCCAAGACGAGCCTACTGCCCGAGACTGGGAGGAAGCTGCAGCCACCTTCTCCCCCAGCAGCACCTCTGCATTTGACCAGGCGGCCCCAAGACATGCCATTCATCAACACCCAGGTTCTCCCAAGGCCAAGAGATGCTCGTTCACAGCACCCGGGAGGGCAGAGGGACCCCAGCAATGCCACGCTGATATCTGAAAGACTGGAATGAGAAACCCAGCCAAGCCCAACAGACGACTCTAGATAGCACCAATCAAGAGAAGACCAAGGCTAAGTGCAATTACTTCTCCTGTTCTTTGGGGGTTTCTTTTTTTAAAAGTAGCTGGCCTAAATTCACAGTTACACTCCTAAGTCCCATTTCTGGTGGAAAGCAGCTCTTATGTAAGTGAAAAGCAGTTCCTTGTGTCAGCAGTGGCAAAGTCTGCAACTTTGCACAGTCTGTGCATCGTCCTCACACCACCACATGCTCCTCCTGCAGACACAACCTGCTCTACAGAACGTATATTTCTGGAATACATTTTTCAAACTAACATAATGTAATTTTAAATGGATGCTTGCTTTTACGGAACTACAGTAAATCTGGTAACTGTTCTCAAAATGTCTGGCTTCTCTCATCACTAATGCTCATAGCCAGTGTTCAATGGGGTTTAACATCTGTGTGTTACAAGAGGTAGGTTTATCTCACCCTGACTATTTATCACACCCGCCTCCAAATGTCCTCCATCTACAGTCAAGCAGTTTTATATTCTCCTTCATCTCCCCTCCTCTGTGCCACCACAGTACTTACTCTGAATGACGCCTGTCAATGCCACTGAACAACTCCCACAGCTCCTCCGAGCTCAGGATCCCATCAGCGAAATAGTTCTTGAACTCCTCAAATGACAGCTTCCCATCATCTGCATTTAAATAAAAGGGAAGAATAATTATATATCTGCAGAAAGAAGCACACAGGCCCCAGCAATCCTCCCAGCAGCCTCTCTACCAGGAGCGTGGGACGGTTGGGCGTGTTGTGCATGATAATTAGAGCAGATATCTCATTGAAAGCATGTCCCACCAGTCCCCATCAAAAACCCAGCAGTGCCGGCAAGCAGGGACACTGCTGCTGGAATTTCAGGTGGGGATTGCAGCCCCTTCCAAAAGGTCCCATGCAACATGTTCAGAAACGCATGCAGACACTCTGTACTTAGACGACTGTCCAAGATGACTGTCTAAGCACAGAGCCCATTACAAACACCATGAAGACAGCATCAGGTTTTTATGGAAAGAAAATCTCTCCATTGACTCAAGAGCTTTTTTCTTCCCGTCTGTGGAGGACTTCAGCTCCTGGGCTGCATTTTGATCTGCAACAAAAGCAGCTCCTAGAGCCTGCAAGCTAATGTGAAGGAAAAGAGCCCAAGACGGGGTGGGAAGGCTCCAAAAAACAACTTTGCACTTCTTGGTTTATGGGTGCCAGATTAAAAACTGAGGGGCAGAGCTTAACTCTCAAATGCCAGGGGCTCCTCTGGGCATCCAGGAACAGGGCCACTCAACCAAGGGCACCTGTAAAACCCTAGAATGAGCGCAGAGACTGAATCAATCATGCAAGAGATGGAGCAGAAGCCTGATGGCCCCTGGGCTGCCTGCTGCACAGCCTTCCCTTCTCGCTGCTAGCAGTGCAGAGGAGAGGTTGTGAGCATGAAGGCAGGAGAGGGTTTGGAAGCGGTTCTGTCCTGCATGGTACATGGGCATTGAACAGGGGGAGCTCACTTCCCCAGCCCCTGGCCAGGCCCTTTGCCTCTAGAGCCTCTTTCTCCAGACAAAGAAGAAAAGCATTTTTCCTGCAGCAGAGAGCTGCTTGCCTTTATCCTCCTTCACTTGTTCAGCCAAACCTCCCAGCAGGGACAGGCTATGCTGCTTCGCCCAGACCCAGGCAGGGAGGGGGAGGCAGCAGCAGGAACAAAACACTCACCATTCTTGTCGGCTCGTCGGAAAATCTGCAAGAGAAAATACAACAGGGTTTAGCAAGGCAGCAGGGAGAGCAGCATGGCTGAGCGCCGAGGCAGGCAGCACCCAGCACTGACACCATGGGAAAACTACCTCCCGGAGCCCGGGGGAGCCGTGAAGAAACCCCTGCTGGCAGGGCTGCACAGGCCAGTGCTGCAGAGGCTGCTCTGGGGAAATTCCCCTTTTCAAATTCTCAAAATCATTTCTTGCCTCCAATGTGCAAAGATCTTGGCACAGCCGCTGCCACCCAAGCAAGTCCAGCATTCACACCAAGCATCTTTTAGAGAACACAGAGAGAGATGAAGTAGAAAGGGCTTCACTACACCCTTGTGATGGAAAGTGTTTAATTTTTCAGACCCTTTAAATGAAAGAACATTAAGCATCAAACCACTCCATAACGGGAGCACTTTGTGCATCACCACTGACACTTCAACTGTCTGTATTGAGGAGCAGCTCTTGTCCTGCACTTTGTCATGACCCTTCACAACAAACCTTCCTGCAACACCTCGACAAGCACATACACTGTAATTAATAATTAATGAATTAATTTGTAACTAATTCTGCCACAGAGCACAGCTGGAGAGCTGCTCCAATTCAGGGTCTCAACCCAGATTCCCAACCACAAGGCTTCTTATCCTCGCCTGGCTCCTCTTCCATCAATAATTGTCAGAAGGCCTAGGGCTGACTCCAGTGAGAAACAGAATCATTTCCAAAGCCTGGGAACATCTTGCAAGACCAAACAGTGCAAGGTTTTGGCCAGCACATCCTTATGGAACCAATTACAGAAAGTTGTGTGTGGCAACTTTCTTCTTTATCATCCTGGTTGATGAAGAAATCTGAAGGTGTGAAGAAAGATCAGAAATAAAAAAGGGCAAGAAAAGGGGAAAGCAAACTTTGTTATATTCTTTTTCACACACCTGCAAAGCAGAGACTGCTGACATAACCACCCCCAGACAAGCTCTGCTCCCTGACACAGGAAGATGTGTTGCAGCCAGCTGCCCCCTCTGCCCCCAGCTCCCTTCTGCACTGCTGACAGCTTTGCTGTGTTTTGAGGGCACAAGCCCATATCTACTACTGAAATGTCTCTGAAAAATCACTTTGAGGTAATCAGCTGCCCAGAGAAACCTCTGCTGCTCACTCCTGAGGAAGCCGCTGGCTTGCAAGTAGGTAGAGGCTTTTCTGAGGCCAGTCCCATCAGGAGCTTCCTGATCCTTCCCCGTGACCAAAATCAGGAGCAGGGACACCTCCTTGGAGGATGCTCTTATGAGCAACACCAGCTCCTCCTGACCCGAGCCACTGCAGGGAATAGAGGCTGACCTGAGCTGACCAGTGTTAGGTAACCGTCCCTCTGCACGCGGCCAGGCTGCCTCCCTTGCAGGAAAGCAGGAGGGTGCACTCTGAACACCCCGTAGGACTCACTCGAGGCATTTGGGTGCTCGACCACTACCACCTGCGACAGGAACCCGCAGCTCCCGCATGCTAGGGCTTTCTCTGGGTTTTAAAGCAAAACTTTCTTCAGGCTAAAGGGTTCGCTTGTGCATCAGGGGTCTCACAGCTGCAGGTTTACGTGTGCTGGGGCTCCCTAGATGCTGGGGCAGCCGGGCCTGCGGGCAGGGGCAGCACCAGGGGGTCCCACATGCCCATGCCACCCTGCTGCCTCCCTGCCTTGGGCAGCCGCTTTTCATCAAGGCAAAAGCTTAATCCTGCAGAGCCCTCTGTCTCTGGAGGGACACATGGCTCATGCAACGACATTTCTCTGACTCTAGATGTCACTGAGGCCAGCTAGCTCATCCCAAAGACAGTCACCTGTCACCCAGGCACTTCACAAACGCAGACTCAAGAGAGGCCAAACATTTCCCACTCACAGGCTGGCCCTTCTCCTCTGGGTCTGACTGTGGGCTAAGAGGGAGAGCACAATTTCCAGAGGGGATCCTATGGGGCTGAGAAGGTCTCTAATCTATGGTGAGCCCATCCTGGATTCAGCATGAATCTCAGCAAACAGCTGACGCTTCTGCCTCACACACGGGAGCCTCTGCTCCAGGGGTGCATTAGAAAAGCACTGCCAGTGCACACACAACAGCTGCCTGAAGCTCAAAATAAACAAAAGTGGTGCAAGAAGCAGAGCTGTGAGAGCCCTGGAGGTGAGGCCCCATCTGCTCCACATCCCCCAGGGACAGCAGGGCTCCTCACCACCTCCAGCAAGCCTGTCCTCAGCCGACCCCAGCTGCAGAGGGGTCCCTTGGTGTGCCAGGAAACACTGATGGCTCCTGTGTGCAAGGCTGGATCCAACTCCAGCCAAGCAAAAATAGTGCAGAGCCACTTCCACGCTCCACGGGGTGACTCCTGGCCGCCCTGGGGCAATTCCCAGCCCCACCTGGGGCGTAGGCACATGCATGGCAATGACAGGTAAGTGCTGCTCCTGGTGAAAGAGCCCAGTGCGGACAGCAACCCCCGGACAAAGCCAGGGAAAAGCAATGCAAAGCCAGGCTGGGAATAGGATCAGCTCTGCATCGGCTGCTGGAGAGGCCCTACAGGCTTGCAGTCTCAGAAACACAGGGACACTGCCTGAATCCCAAGACATTTCCCTCAGCCCCCAGCTCCTGCTTGGGTCCAAGCAGCTGCAGCCACACCCAGTGCCTTTATTTGGGGATGAACCTCCACACATCCCAAGAAGGAGGGACATTATAGGGCTTCCCCTGCCTACAGGGGTGGAAGGAACTGTGGCTGCTGGACACGCAGCCAGGAACACGCCAGCTGCTGGGGAGGGCACAGCCACCCCGGGGACACTGTGCCCACCGACCCACCGCAGGCTAATGTGGGCTGCGGCCAGGCGCCGGCGATAAACGACGGGCTGTCCAAGCAGCTTTTCTGAACCTCTTGTACACCGACTGGGGAGTAAGCAACCCTCGAGTGCCAGCTTGGGGGATGAATCTCACAGAGGCTTGAGACGTCTGCACAGAGAAACAGCTGTGATGGCAGCACTGCAGTTAGTACCGTGCCTGCAGCGAAGCGTCTTAGGCAAAGCCCTCCTCCTCCTCACCTCTCCCGAAGGCAGGCGATCTGCGGACGGCAGCTCCAGCCCCGGGGGAAGCACTGGCTGCCACCCGGGATCTGTGGTGGACAGCCCTGCCTTTCTGCTGCCCAAGGAGCAGTCTGGGATCCTGCCCCACTGCGGTGGGGAGCAGCTCGCCCTGACAAGCCTTGGGGGGCAGCTGGAGACCAGCCAACTGCCCAGACCCAAAAGGGGAGATATTAAACTTACCCTGCCAATCTCCAGAGCAAAGGGAGCCATAGGGAAAAGGAAGGGAAGCCGCCAGAACCCGGAAAGCAGCCGCTACTGCTGTTAACACTTCCCATTTTAATTGGCTTAATGATGCCCTGAGGGATAGATGTGGGATTCAGTGGCTGCCCCGAGGAGCTGAGCTGGAACACAGCTGTCACCACCAACCCCCCTCCAGCCCATCTTCCATCAGCCAAGTAATTAGTGTGGTTAATGATGCTGTCTGGAGAGCCTTCCAGTCTGAAATCCCTCCTCATCAGGAGAGAGACCCTGACCCCTGGCTGGAAGCTGGGGGGTACCACTGCGGACAGGAGAGCTGCACCTTCCAGCTGCTCCCTGGTGAAGAGGTCTCCCAGGCGGAGGATCAGACCAGGCATTGCATTCGCCTTCCCAAAGTGCTGCCCAAGATCTCCTGCTACCCTCCTCCAGGATGAACTGGGACACACGGGTGGCACTGCCCAAACTGGGATAAGACAGAAACAACAGCTGGCACCACCCTAAGCTGTCCAGATGCCAGGGCACCACACCAACCCTTACCCTTAACTCTTGCTTGCTTTCTCCTCTCCAGTCCCTGCAGCAGGGCAGGGAATGAAAGAGCTGGTGGTCTACCAGGGAGATTTGGGTGCTGCCCATCCGACCCAGGCACCCTATAGCTCACAAAAGACAGCCAGGAACTGGGGACTTGAGCCCCTCTGATGTGCTCCAGCAGTGGAGGTGGGCTTTGACCCAAACTGCGCTGCTTGCCCTGGGAGATGGCCAGGCATGCAGCTGCCTGTCCAACCTGCCAGGTGCCACAGGAGGAGGGGCACTGCCTCCCCCAGAGCCCCAGCTCCAGGGTGCACAGCTCCCTCTCAACAAGAGCACCCTCACCACAGGGCTTGAGGGGACACAGTGTGATGGGAAGCACTGTGCCAGGACCTGTCTTGTGAAAACAAAGACAGCCACTATCCACACCTTCAACTCCCCCAAGCCACCCATAGCCACCGGGGTGCCTCGCCGACCTCCAACCTGCACAAAGAGCATCTTCCTCCACAACTCCTGGTGCGTTAGGAGCAGGCTGGGACGGGGGCTGCAGCGGGCAACAGACACACTCTGCCTGTGGGATCCCACGGCTTTTAACAGCTACATGGTACCTTCTGCAGTTTTCCTGCCAGACACACACAGCTCCCGCTCCAGAAGTCACGACAGCCAGCTCTTGATAAGAAGCGGGCTATTTCTAGCCACTCAGAGGCCCATAATTCAGAAAAAAGATACAACACTAAGTATTATTTAAAACATCACAACCCACGCCTGGATTCACAGCTTCGGGCACAGCAAAGCCGCAGGGCCCACTCACTTATATCTTGGGCTTGGCTCCTCGGCCAGGGCAGGCGGGAAAGGGCCTCACCCTGACACCTACATGTGCAGCCCCGCCACGGCTCCCCGCGAGAAGGCACCGCGGCCCGCCCGGCCCCGGGGGTGGGACAGGAGCTCGCCCCGCGGTACTCACGTCGTGGAAGATGGGGAGAGGCTGGCGGCGGGGCGCGGGGCCGCGGTCGGCTGAGAGCAGACACACGGCCAGCAGCTCGGCGCACGCCATCATGGCCCCGCCGGGCGCGGGCGCTGCGGTGCCGGAGGGAGCGGTGCGGTGCCCCGCAGCACGCTGCCGCAGGGCGCGGTGCCGTAGGGCGCAGCACCCCGCAGTACGGTGCCGTAGGGCACGGTACGGTGCCGTAGGGCGCGCACCGCGGAGCCGAACTCAGAGTCCCAGCGGCTCCGCAGCCGCCAGGCAATTTTGCCTCCGCTGTGGGCCCGCCCCCGCGGCGATCCGGTTGGCCGCGGCCAGTGATTGGCACCGCAGGGCCGCGCCTGTCGTTGGCGGAGGGGAGAGGGGCGGGGCGGTGGCGGGGGCTGCCGTGACC